AGCATTCCACTGGGTTTACTTTGGCATTCGAAGCATTCTACTGGATTTTACTTTGGCATTCAAAGTGTTCCACTGACTTTTACTTTGCATTCAAAGCATTCCACTGACTTTTACTTTGACATTCAAAGCATTCTACGGGATTTTATTTTGGCATTCAAAGTGTTCCACTGACTTTTACTTTGCATTCAAAGCATTCCACTGACTTTTACTTTGCATTCAAAGCATTCCACCGACTTTTACTTTGACATTCAAAGCATTCTACTGGATTTTACTTTGGCATTCAAAGTGTTCAACTGACTTTTACTTTGGCATTCAAACCATTCCACTGACTTTTACTTTGACATTCAAAGCATTCCACTGGGTTTTATTTGGCATTTGAAGCATTCTACTGGATTTTACTTTGGCATTCAAAGTGTTCCACTGACTTTTACTTTGGCATTCAATGCATTCCACTGACTTTTACTTTGGCATTCAAAGCATTCTACTGGATTTTACTTTAGCATTCAAAGTGTTCCACTGACTTTTACTTTGCATTCAAAGCATTCCACTGACTTTTACTTTGACATCCAAAGCATTCCACTGGGTTTTACTTTGGCATTCGAAGCATTCCAGTGACTTTTACTTTCACATTCAAAGTGTTCCACTGACTTTTACTTTGGCATTCAAAGCATTCCACTGACTTTAACTTTGGCATTCAAAGCATTCTACTGGATTTTACTTTGGCATTCAAAGCATTCCAGTGACTTTTACTTTGACATTCAAAGCATTCCATTGGAATTTACTTTGGCATTCAAAATGTTCCACTGACTTTTACTTTCACATTTAATGTGTTTCACCGACTTTTACTTTGGCATTCAAACCATTCCACTGACTTTTACTTTGACATTCAAAGCATTCCACTGGGTTTTACTTTGGCATTCGAAGCATTCCAGTGACTTTTACTTTGACATTCAAAGTGTTCCACTGACTTTTACTTTGGCATTCAAAGCATTCCACTTACTTTTACTTTGGCATTCAAAGCATTCTACTGGATTTTACTTTGGCATTCAAAGTGTTCCACTGACTTTTACTTTGACATTCAAAGCATTCCACTGGATTTTACTTCGGCATTTAAAGTGTTCCACTGACTTTTACTTTGACATTCAAAGCATTCCACTGGATTTTACTTTGGCATTCAAAGTGTTCCACTGACTTTCACTTTGACATTCAAAGCATTCCACTGGATTTTACTTTGGCATTCAAAGTGTTCCACTGACTTTTACTTTACATTCAAAATGTTTCACTGACTTTTACTTTGACATTCAAAGCATTCCACTGGGTTTTACTTTGGCATTCGAAGCATTCCACTGACTTTTACTTTCACATTCAAAGCATTCCACTGACGTTTACTTTGACATTCAAAGCATTCCACTGACTTTCACTTTGACATTCAAAGCATTCCACTGGGTTTTACTTTGGCATTCGAAGCATTCTACTGGATTTTAATTTCACATTCAAAGCATTCTACTGTCTTTCACTTTGACATTCAAAGCATTCCACTGACTTTCACTTTGACATTCAAAGCATTTCACTGACTTTTACTTTGGCATTCAAAGCATTCCACTGACAATTACTTTGACATTCGAAGCATTCCACTGACTTTCACTTTGACATTCAAAA